GGTGTCTCGGCTTTTCCGAGACACCCCTAGGGTGTCTCGGATTTTCCGAGACACCCCTAGGGTGTCTCGGATTTTCCAAGACACCCTGGGGTGTCTCGGAATTTCTGAGACACCCCTGGGGGTGTTTCGGGATTCCGAGACGTCCGTAGGTGTATTTTGATCGTTTTCCCCGTAGATTCTTCGTACGAACTCGGATTTGAGTGATTCCGGGTGCGTTGGATGCGTGACGAAGAGTTCGATCCGCTCTGATGATTGGATTGTCTTTAGAGTGGTCGAGGCACAGAGGGTCTTGTCCTTTTTGTGAGCAGTGCCGGGCTTCCCGATTGGTCCGGGTCTTCGTGATTCCGAAATCCTATCCGCTTACGTGGCTCGTCGATTCACTTCAATCGTTCATCGACGTCGATTAGGCTCATGTGGGTCAGATGGTGATGTTCATTGTCGCTTGTTAACACTGAACCGGTTGTGGAGAACTATAGGCAATTTTCGATGCCTACACGATGTACTCCCTGATGAGTGAGATTAACTCTTCTTTCTCATCTGGTAGGAGACTGTCGCTAATGAATATCGGTTTAGGATTTTCTTCAGTTCCCATATTCACCTGGAGTACTTGATCTTCGGTAGGAGGCTCTCTTTGCTCGAACCTATCACCATACTGCATGTTTAGGTGATGAACCCAAGGATCTTCCCATGTCGGCATCTGGTCGTCTTCCTCTATGTCTCGAGTTTGCAGCTGATGAATTGAGTTTGGTTCGTGTCACTGAGTTGACTTTGAACTACCTCTGCCACATTATGCTGGCTTAGGGTTTTGGATCACCGCGTGTTGACTTTTTGTCGCAACGCGTTGACCGGCATTGACCTAGGGTTATGCGCTGACCGGCATTGACCCTTAGGGTTTTGAATCGTCAAACGTTGACTTTCGTCGCAACGCGCTGACTGGCGTTGACCTAGGGTTACGCGTTGACCGGCGTTGACCCTTAGGGTTTTGATTCATCAAAGGTTAACGAACGTTGACTTTTGTCGCAACGCGTTGACTGGCGTTGACCTAGGGTTACGCGTTGACCGGCGTTGACCCTTAGGGTTTTGAATCGTCGAACGTTGATTGGTGTGGATTTTCATCCTCGAACGTTGACTTTTGTCGCAACGCGTTGACTGGCGTTGACCTAGGGTTACGCGTTGACCGGCGTTGACCCTTAGGGTTTTGAATCGTCGAACGTTGATTGGTGTGGATTTTCATCCTCGAACGTTGACTTTTGTCGCAACGCGTTGACTGGCGTTGACCTAGGGTTACGCGTTGATCGGCGTTGACCCTTAGGGTTTTGAATCGTCGAACGTTGATTGGTGTGGATTTTCATCCTCGAACGTTGACTTTTGTCGCAACGCGTTGACTGGCGTTGACCTAGGGTTACGCGTTGACCGGCGTTGACCCTTAGGGTTTTGAATCGTCGAACGTTGATTGGTGTGGATTTTCATCCTCGAACGTTGACTTTTGTCGCAACGCGTTGACTGGCGTTGACCTAGGGTTACGCGTTGACCGGCGTTGACCCTTAGGGTTTCGAATCGTCAAACGTTGATTTTTGTCGCAACGCGTTGACTCATTGACCTTTGTCGCAACGCGTTGACCGGCGTTGACCTAGGGTTATGCGCTGACCGGCATTGACCCTTAGGGTTTTGATTCGTCAAACATTGACTTTTGTCGCAACGCGTTGACTGGCGTTGACCTAGGGTTACGCGTTGACCGGCGTTGACCCTTAGGGTTTTGATTCATCAAAGGTTAACTTTTGGTGCAACCCGTTGACTGGGGTTGACCTAGGGTTACGCGTTGACCGGCGTTGACCTAGGGTTACGCGTTGACCGGCGTTGACCCTTAGGGTTTTGAATCGTCAAACGTTGATTGGTGTGGATTTTCATCCTCGAACGTTGACTTTTGTTGCAACGCGTTGACTGGCGTTGACCTAGGGTTACGCGTTGACCGGCGTTGACCGGCGTTGACCCTTAGGGTTTTGATTCGTCAAAGGTTGACTTTTGGCGTAACGCGTTGACTGGCGTTGACCTAGGGTTACGCGTTGACCGGCGTCCACCCTAGGGTTTTGATTCGTCAAAGGTTGACTTTTGGTGCAACCCGTTGACTGGGGTTGACCTAGGGTTACGCATTGACCGGCGTCCATCCTAGGGTTTTGGATTCGTCAAACATTGACTTTTGTCGCAACGCGTTGACTGGCGTTGACCTAGGGTTACGCGTTGACCGGCGTCCACCCTAGGGTTTTGGTTCGTCAAAGGTTGACTTTTGGCGCAACGCGTTGACTGGCGTTGACCTAGGGTTACGCGTTGACCGGCGTCCACCCTAGGGTTTTGATTCGTCAAACGTTGATTGGTGTGGATTTTCATCCTCGAACGTTGACTTTTGGAGTTCATCAATATTTAACCATTGGCGAAGAATCAGAGTGTTTTGGGGTTTAAAAAACAATTTAGGGGTTCAAACGAAGTTTGGGGGGTCAAAACAGGTTCAAGACGCCCCGGGGGTGTCCCGACAAAACCGGGACACCCTGGGGTGTCTCGGCTTTGCCGAGACACCCTTGGGGTGTCTCGGTTTTGCCGAGACACCGGGGGGTCAAAACAGGTTCAAGACGCCCCGGGGGTGTCCCGACAAAACCGGGGCAAAGCCGAGACACCCTTGGGGTGTCTCGGTTTTGCCGAGACACCCCATGGGGGTGTCTTGGTTCGTGTGGTCCCCCCCCCTTTTCTTTTCTTTGTTTGGCCTTTTCCTTTTTTGCTCATGGTCCCCCCCTCCTTTAATTCAAATTTCAAAGGAGAGAACTTCCCCCCTCTTTGGCTCCAAAACCGAAATTCCCCCTCCTCATTTTCGGTTTTTTGTGCATCCTTCTTCCCCAAGCTTCTTTCCTCCATTGATTTTCTTTCAAGAGCTCCATACCCCAAAGAAATTCGGGTTTTTGTATGCTCCTTCTTGGCCGAAAATTTTCACCTCTCACTAGGGTTTCTCCCTCCACCTTCAAACTCGGATCTTGGCTCTTGGATTGGGGATTTCAAGCCTCTTGATTTGGGTAAGCTCCTTTTCGCCATCCTCTATTTTTTTTGATAAAGATTACATCTTTATACTTGGAATAGGCAAGGGATTGTGTATGCACCATATTTTTGGGGGTGGGTTGTGCAATAGAGGCAAGATGGCCGAAATTTTGGAGGCCTTTTATGCAAAATTGCATTATGGCCGAAATTCTTTGAGGGGCTTTTATGCAAAATTGCATTATGGCCGAAATCTTTGAGGGGCTTTTATGCAAAATTGCATTATGGCCGAAATCTTGAGGGGTTTTTATGCAAAAGAGGACTGAAATTAGGTCTTATTTGCAAAATGGGACTGAAATTTATGAGGGCTTGGATTTCACTCCCCTTTGGTAACAATTTGGATGGGTGTCTTATGCAAAAAGACCATACTTTATTGAGGGTTTTATGTGCAAATATGGGGCTGAAAACTTTGGGGGCTTATTTGCAAATTCGGCTAAAGAATTGGGGTGGTGTTCATGTAATAGAGGATTGAAGTTAAGACCTATATTACATGTTCATTTGGCCGAAAGTTTGAGGGGTACTTTAGGCGAGAGGACCAAAAGTTGTTAGAGGGGTTTATTTGCAAAATTGGTTAAATTCTACAAAAGGGCTCATTTGTAAAATTAACCAACCTTGTGGGGGTACCGGGGGTGCTATATGATCAGATATGATGACCATGACCCAACCCGGGCGTGTCCTTGACTTGAATTTTGGCTTTGAACACGAAGGGTATTTTGGGTATTTCACCAAAATTCACCGTGAAAGATGACAATCATCGTGCACGAAATTTGTAGGTTTAATTAGACTTCAATTATGAAATCCTATTTGTGTATAGGATTTTAATTAAAGTTCTTAATTTCCCTTTTGAATTTCGTATATTCATGTTTTAGATTGTACCTGACTTGCTGCTTTTCGTTGCAGATTTGCAATGTCTCCGCGTCGATTTCGTCCCCGGAGGAGCCGTTCTCGTTCACAGCATAGTGAGGAGGAGGTCCCCACGACATCCTCTCCCGCGGCCTCATTTTTCGGGGGTGAGAATTTATGCAGAGATTTTGTCTTACATCCCTGATTGACCTCTTTGCGGGTCATGAAGGAAGAACCGATACCTCTCTCGCGGAGGGTAAGGTTTCAGACTTGTTTTGCTTAGCCAATTCAAGTCTTCGGTGCTGACACCTCGCCTGGGGGTGCAGTGTCAAGGCCCATAATCCCGGGTCGAAGACCACGAACGTCATGATACCCGTTAGAGCCGGGGGTCTTGTGGTGAGTGGCATATCCACACTGAATTCGCTCAGCATTTTCAGTAAAGTGCCAAGACATCTGTCTTTCCACGGCCTGCCCCTTCAAGTGATTGAAAGAATATTGGCGTGGAATCGATGGGATGTACAAACAAGCTCCACCATCAAAAGTCAGCCAGTGCTCCTCACCAAGAGTCAGTGCAACAGGATCCTCGACTTGATCCCCGAACAAAAAGCTCGGCTTCTGTAAAAAGCCTGTGTGGAGGTAGAATCGGCGGTGAAAGAGGCATCTGTGATAAGCTGGCGCAAGCAATGGCGCCCTCCTTCCAAATAAATATCCAAACAATGGAGTTAACAATATTTATCTATAAATATAAGTGTGTAAGAGGACTTTTATGCAAAGAAAGAATAATAGTTATGGTGACATATTTTTGCTTATTTAGGGGTTTGTTACAATTAGATTTTTTGTTAAGGTGTTTGTTGGAAATGGAAATCCTTATAAAACAAAGGGAGAAAACCCTAGCTTTGGTCTGCATAGGCCGGCAAAAAAAAAAAAAAGGAAATCCCTACCTGCGTCCTTTTGAGAACCGACCGGCGACCGAAAAAAAAAAATCAAAGAAGAAGGAGAACCGGATAATGTATATGTTATTTTATTAGAGTTTATTAAACAATTCAGAGAACTGATTTCTTGTCTTCACATCCGCGTTCGATTATGTCTTAGGCTTGAAAAAGGTAAGTGATTCGTTGATTTGTTGATTTATCAATACCTTCTAAAATGTAATAATAACAATAGCAATTATATACATTGATTCATGTTTTCTTTGGCCCCATAAAAGAAAATTATTAAATGAATAGGCTTCCCTAGATAGTGCTTGGGTCTGCGGTTCATGGAAAAACAACTGCAAGTAGTAAGCATCTTAGAATGGAAGTGATTGTGAAATCCAATAAATCATTTATGTAGTGTTTAACAACAATTAAAATCCATTGATTATTATTTCAAATTTTTATTCCATAGGAATTTCTAGTGGCTCCTCGAAAGCATCGTGAGAGTTAAATTTTGGATTGTCGGTTGGATTAAGGTAAGTGGTGAATTTGTACATTATTCGCTGCGTATTTTTCATATAAAATTTGATTAACTATATGTAAGTTTGTTCTGATGGAATATATTCTTTTTTATGGTTTCTCTCATACTAATCATCATTGATTGGATTATTGCACGTGGTTATTTGGTATAAGCCTATGCTTATTTTCTTTGTCAATTGTTATGTCTTTTCATATAGTAGTAGGTTGAGATGCATATGTGGTTGATTGATTTCACTATTGGTTGGCCTTAGCAATTTTGTATAATGTATTTAGTTTTACGGACTTCGTTTAATTTTCTTAGAGCATATGCATCTCAAGTCAATATACCGGTATATGTCGGATATTTACGGACTTCGTTTAATTTTCTTAGAGCATATGCATCTCAAGTCAATATACCGGTATATGTCGGATATGAGCAAGTTATTAAAACATGGCTCAATGTGCCTATATGAGGTTTCTATTTTAGCGCTAAGAGCCCAAGTTTGGGTCTCATCGTCCCTACCACGGGCTTTATAATAGTGGGGTTTGACAAGTCAACCTGAGTATCGAAGTGTTGACCGCATTGAGACGTGACATGCTTATTTCCATTGCATATATATATATATTTTAAAAGTGTTGCATTATAGATTTTACTATTTTAGTATTTCGCTTATCAAGTCAATTTATTTTAGTTTTGCAAAACCAGTGTTTAATGTATAAATTTATCCACTTATTGAGTTGTGAACTCATTGTGTTGTTTTCATTCTTTTCAGAGACTCGGGATTAGGTGGAATTGAGGATTTGCCAAATTCTTAGAACGAAGCAAAGAATATAATTTGAGATTGTTATTGTCTTCTAGGCAAAGGTTAAATAAAGTCTTTAATATTTAGTTGATAAATTGAGAGTTTTGTAATAATGAGATTCTTTTTTTAGGTTGAGATTTATTTGGAGTTCAGGAATATTTATTTTTATCAAGTTAATTGGCTTAGTTTGACTTTTGGGATTATAGAGAATATTTGTTGTTGGTTTTAGTTCAATGAAAAGATTTGTTTTAGTGGTCTTTTAATGAATGTATATTTTGGAGGACTTTTCACAGGTTTAGTCCGGCTCTAATATTCCTTTTAGGTTCGGAAATTGGGGTCGTGACACCATTGTACTGTATTGATGTTCCTGGAAAAAATTTGACTTTGGGATCCTTGCTCCGGAGTAGACCAAATATTACTTTAAGCACAGAGTTTCACAAACGCACAACAGCTAAAAAAATACACCACTTCAGCTTCTTTTCAGTTTTCTCTGTTTTATATCTGTTATTATTCCGAATTTAGTCACAAGCGCCAACAATGCACATTTTGTTTAGCCTCCTAGTAACATGCAATATACTGATGCTGTATTCAACAAGGAAAAGAAATTTAAAAAATGCAACACGCTCTTATTTGTCAGGACTGATTTTTGAGAAACAGAAGCATGCTAGTCTTCTCCAATTTGCAGATAAATTTTTTTCTCCCTCTTGCTCTATTAATATGTGGATCAATGGTTCACATAAAATAGAAATCCGGGAGGGTCTTAAAAGAGCAATCCTGTTATTTTCCCCATAAGTATTAGTTTAAACTAGTTGAATTGTTAAAGTTTCCTCCCGAACAAGCCATTAATCTCAGTTACCTTTTGATATATAGAAATCAGACTCTATTCAAATTAAACAAGCTTAAGTACTTATAGGACAACTCTAGTGAATAAAAGTGCAAAATATAGAAAGGAAACACATACATATAGCATGACAACGAGTGAATCTTTCGGTACAAAACCGAGCTAGTAATTTACAAGTCTTTCAGAGTAAGGTAGGAATGATCCATATAGGGGGAGGCCAATGCAAGTGCTGTCCAAGATTGGGTACCATTCTTCACATCAAACACGCCCTGACAACTTGTGAAGCTGACTAGAGAGGCAGTATTTATCGTCCATCTCACAAGCCAAATCAAGAGGTGATTTGACCTCGAAAGCGAAGCTAATAGCTATCCTTTATTTTCATCATGAATGCCACTCAGTCCTTGGTTTTAATAAAAAGAAATGGACAAAGAGAAATGGACCTGGTTGGCTCTAACAAAAAGAAACGGACCTGGCATCACATCCTTGGTTTAACTTTATCATTGGAAGAAAAAGAACGATGCATGGTCTTAATAAAAAAAACAATTGACGCTTGACTTTGATAAAAGAAGTGGATGCTTGGCTGTAACCCTTTATCTTGGTCTCAACAAGTCGATAATCACCATCTCAACAGAACCTGCAAGAAAGAAAAACGAAGAGGGAGTGGAAAAAAAAAATCAAATATGGTGGTTGTCGGAGATGTGATTGCAAGCAAAATCATTGAGAAGCTGGTGGAGGTTGGGTTTGACTACGCAGCAGACCAGTTTTTTGCTCGGCGAAGACGAATGAACGACGAGCTTCAAAGGCTCAAGGATGCTCTTCCTCGTATCCAATCAGTCGTAAACGCAGCGGAGAGCGGGCAAGGAGAAATAACCGGAGATGACCTCGACGAATGGCTATGGCAACTTAAGGATGCTGTCTACATGGCCAGTGACGTACTCGACGATCTCGATTATACTGACATACAGAAGCGAGCGGAGGCGGATGCTGCAGGAAGCGGACCTCGTGGCAGCAAGGTGAGCGGTTTTATTTCCGATTCTAAACGAAGAGTTTCCAAGTTTAGTAAAAGAGCCTTTAAATCCGACCCCACCCTCGAGAAGCTAAGGGGGGCTGTCAAGAGGCTAAGTGAAGTGGCGGCAGGCGTTGAAGTTTTTAACAGTTTGGTAACAGAGCGTAACCAACAACAACAACAACAACAACAACAAGAACAACTTCGTGAAACTGGACCTATTGTAAGGGAGAGAGATGTGCTGGGAAGGGATGGGGATAGGAAGGAAGTGTTACAGTGGTTGACGAGGGCGCCCATCGCTAATGAGGATCACGAGGGCATCTCTCTTTTCTCCATTGAGGGCCTCGGAGGAGTCGGAAAGACAACCCTTGCACAAGTCGTCTACAGGGATGACACCGTACAGAGTTCCTTTAGCATCAAAATTTGGGTGTGTGTCTCCACTCGCTTTGATGTTAAAAAGATTACGGGAGACATCCTAGAATGCGCTGCACAAAGGAGACCGGACGTTGGAGGACTTGGCCCACTACAGGAAGCTCTTGAGGCCTTGGTGTCATCTAAGAAATTTCTCCTCGTCTTGGATGACGTTTGGAATGACGATGATCTCTCTAGTTGGCAGACGTTGTTTGCTCCGATGAGGTGTGGACTTAAAGGAAGTAAAATCATTTTAACTGCCAGATCAAAGAAGGTCTCCGAAATGGCTACACTAGCTTTGGGAGGGACAAGTAAAATCATTTTAACTGCCAGATCAAAGAAGGTCTCCGAAATGGCTACACTAGCTTTGGGAGGGACGACAAATGAGTCAAAGAAATTAAATCCCTTGGATAAAAGTGACTTCTTATCACTTTTCAACCGATACGCATTTGCTGGAACAAATCCCCATAATCATGGGAAGCTGCAATCAATTGGCGAGCAAATAGCTGGAAGGCTTGGAGGCTTGCCGCTAGCTGCCAAGACGATTGGAGCGTTATTGCGTTCTAACTTGGATGACAGTCACTGGACGAATATTCTGCAATCTAGTCGTATATCAGATCATGGACCACAGAGAGATGGTGTGATGCCAGCTCTGATGTTGAGCTACTATTATTTACCGAAGCACCTAAGACCTTGTTTCGCATTTCTCAGCACCTTTCCTCAAGATCATCGGTTTCTCAAAGGTGATCTAGTTTTAATTTGGATGGCGCTCGGCTTCATCCAACAATCTCCTCAGAATCCAGCACAGACACCAGAGGATATTGGAAGCCGCTACGTTGATGAGTTAGCTAAACTATCATTCCTTGAACAATTGGGTCTGCATAACACAAATCCCTCAACTCAAGGACGGGAAGAAGAGTACAGCATGCATGATCTTTTGCATGATCTGTCAAGCAAAGTATCTCATGGTGAATGCTTTACGTTTGTTGGAAATATGTCAATCAACCAGATCCCAAACACAGTACGTCATTTGTACTTTGAAACCGGTGATCTTGGTCTTCTCAAAGATATGGACAAATGGAAGAACTTGCACACCCTGATTTTAAAATTCAATGGATACAATGATGAGCATGCCGTGGCTTTCCGACAAGTGTTTGAATCACTAGAAAGCATTCGAGTGTTGCGCATCACTATTAAAGAAATGGAAGTGTTGCCGTGTGCAATAGATAAATTGAGGCATCTCAGATATTTGTCAGTTGATCATCGTTTTACTCGGTTGCCTAGTTCAATCTGCAAACTTTACCACCTGCAGGTACTTGCTTGTAGGAATATTGCAACTTCTTCAGTTTTGGTCTTGAATAACCTTATTAACTTGAGACACCTGCTGCCATGTCATATTCCCCATGGAAACGTCGATGGGATTGGGACTCTTACTTCGCTTCAAGGGTTGTCTTTCAGTGCCGGTGCTTATAAACTTAGTGAACTAAAGGACCTGAGAGAGCTTCAGGAACTTCGGATTAGTGGCCTTCGGAACCAACGAGATGGCGAGGAGGTTAGTCTGGTTCAGCTACGTGATAAAAAGAGACTCCGAGTGTTACGTTTGGAATGGGATGATGATAGTGATGCAGCAGAGGAGTATGAAAAGGTGCTCGATTGCCTCCATCCGCCTGATAGCCTCAAGGAACTCGAAATTGCACGGAGTATGAAAAGAGACTCCAAGTGTTACGTTTGGAATGGGATGATGATAGTGATGCAGCAGAGGAGTATGAAAAGGTGCTCGATTGCCTCCATCCGCCTGATAGCCTCAAGGAACTCGAAATTGCACGGTACCGAGGTGCAAGGTCTCCATATTGGATGGAAAAATATTTGTTAAAAAATCTAGAGCGCGTTGTTCTTTCCAAAAACGCAGCATGGAAGCACCTTCCTTCTCTCGGGAAGCTTCCCTATCTCAATGAATTGAGATTGGATTCACTAACAGGACTCGTGCAAATTGGCTTTGAAGGTGGATTTCAGCAACTGAAGATTTTACAAATCTGGGATTGTGAACAATTGGAAGAGTGGTCCGGATTTGGAGCGGAGACGGCACCTTGCTGGCCTCTCTTTGAATATCTCGAAATCTCGCGGTGTCCCAAACTGAAGGCATTGCCTCCTCTGCCCCTAAGTCTACAGAGCTTGGAGTTAAAGCGTGTGGGATTGTCTGATTCTCCAACATTCTTCCCGGCTACTCCATCCTCGTCCTCCTCCTCTCCTTCCCTCACTCACATGAAAATTGCAGGATGTAAAAATTTAACATCAGTGGCTGGCTTGTTGCGACATCGCCTCAGCGCCCTCATGATGTTGAAGATTAGCTGTTGCGAAGCTCTTGCGGATCTGCATGCAGAGGAAGGCTTTCAGCATCTGCACTCCATCGAAAGCCTAGCGATTGAATATTGCCCAAAGCTGAAGATGGCTACCGACGCGGTCGCCCTTACTTCTCTTTCTCGACTTACACTGTCAGGTTGGAACCACATAACATCCTTTCCCTCCGAAGAGGCGTGCAGAAGATTAACGTCACTAAAAGTGCTGCGATTGGGAGACATGGGAGGGCTGATGTCAGTTGAGGGTCTAAAGGCTCTTTCCCACCTTGCTTGGCTATCTATTCGTAAGTGTCCCAAGCTCGTGCAAGCAGCAGCAGCGTCAATTAAGGGGAAGGAGGAGGAGGAGGAGTTCACATTAACCGTCAGCACTCTTAACGTTGATGACCCCTTGCTGCTCCACGTTGAACCATTGAGAAAACGCACGTCTGTCACAGATCTATGTATAGGGGACTGTGGGAATCTTGAGTGTGAGGGAGACATCAACTCGTGGTTGTTGCGCAACAGAACTTCGCTGCGATCCATCCTCCTGGAAAAGTACAGTACTGCAAAGTCGCTGCCTCGTAGCCTCCAAGCCCTCTCTTCCCTGGACTCTTTACGGACCACTGGAGCTTATCAGCTCCAATCGCTGCCGCGGATGCCTTCGTCTCTGCGATGGCTTTGGATC